TCGGTCCCATATTCCAGAGCTGCAGTAGTCACAGGACTGGCCCTTTGCTCATCCCGGAGCAGCTGCTCCTCCACCCGGATGTATTGGCCTGCCATGGACTGGAGGAGCTGCTCCGGGATAACCAAAGGGCCAGTCCTGTGACTACTGCAGCTCTGGAATATGGGACCGACTTTCTCACCAATGTCAGCAAGCCACCCGGGGGCAGATTTCCCTCCCCTGCAGTTGGTCTTAACTTCCAGCTCCAGCTCGCGTGGCTCTACTCAAGGTAAGGCTTGTGCTTGGCCAAAGGGTGGGGGGCCAGCAGGTGGGCGGTACAGCCTTGTGTTCCCGCACACCCTGGATTAAAATTGCTTTGGGGGGGGGGGAACATTTCTCTGTGGACCAACCACCAAAATTTTCTCGCGGACCACCAGAGGTCCCCCGCCCACTGGTTGGCGACCATTGTCCTAGCTGACCAATATGGGGAAAGCAAAACTGCTGGATTTGTAACAGTGATGCAGCTGAGCTTTTTTTTTTTTAATTTTAATTTTGACTTTAAGTAACCTTTCCTAATTTGACACCTGTAGTTATGCCTAGCCCTGGCATCACTCCATTAACACGGCACACTTTGCATCATCCCCAGCCAGCCCGTGCAAGCACAGCGATTAGGGACGAAAGGATCTGCAATTAAAACAAAACAAAAACAATAAATATAGATCATCCTAAGAAAATACTCCAGAGGCCCAAGCTATTCGGAGTCCTCCCGTCGGCGTCGGCCATTCCTGTCCTCCAACAGCTAGCTGCTCCATCCTCTCTCAGGGCCACCGGCGGGAGGAGGCGCGCGTTCGCAGAAGGGGAGAGGGTGCCGGGGGGGTCTTACCGGAGACAGCCGCCCAGGCCGGGAGGAGGGAGGGGGCGGTCCCGGCCCCGCTCTCTCACCTTGAGGGTCTCGTAGGCGGTAGCGATCATCAGGAATTTCTCCTGAGCGGTCTCGGCTCCTTTGCCATCCGGGTCGGGGTCCCGCTGCCGATCCGGATGGTAACGCAAAGCCAGCTGCCGGTAAGCCCGGGCGATTTCAGCCTTGCTGGCGTCGCGGCCGACCCCGAGCACGTCGTAGCACACCAGCTTGCCGCAATACAAGCCTTCCACCAGGGCTTCCGCCGGCCGCGGGCACAGGCACTGGAAGGCCCACACCAACAGCGGCCAGCGCCCCGCCCGCCACCGAAAAAGACCCCGGGACTTCGCCGCCATCGCCGCGGAAGAGGCTTCGCCCTCGGGCCTCGCGCACCAGATGGTCTCAACCTCCACAGCGGTTCGTCTCCTTTCTGCCCCTCTCCCTCCCTCCCTCCCGCCGCCGCCGCAGCGCGAGCCTAAGGGCGGGGCTAGAACCTTTGGACGTGGACAAAGCGAAGGGAGCTTGGCAAAAAAAAAAAAAAAAAAGCCGCCACCTTACGTTCCCCGAGCCGCCCCGGCGTCAAGAGGGAGTGGTCGGGAAAGGAGGCATAATCGGCCAATCGGCAGGCGAGGCTGGCCGAGGGTGGAAACCGGCCCGGCAAAAGGAGACGCGCGGGAGGGGCGAGGGGGCGGGGATAGAGCGACCCGAACGGGCCAATGGAAACGAATGGGTGGAGGGAGGCGCTTTTACGAGCGTCACGTGGAGCCTGGTCAGCCAATAGCTGGGAGGGAAAATGTGCACGCTCGAGGTCGGAGATGAAAGAACCCAAATCGTCCATTGGATATAAAATGATGCGCCGAAGAATGTGGGCATTTTTTCAAAAAATAATCGATTGATCGTGTGCTATCAAATCAGTGTCGACTCTTAAGGGTCACTTGGATCCAGCAATGGATCATGTCTAGTATTTCCTAGCCAAACCACAGATAACTACAATGATCTAATACATATCTAATACATATTCATACATATTATGAATCAAGCAAACGTAAATTCATTTATACTATAAACTCACTCGCCAAAACCAACACCATCCATAAGAACCTCCGTTGCCGCCCTGACCTAACCATACAGCAACGTGCCCGCTCCCGTGCACTCCGCATCGAACTCAAAAACCGTCTAGATAATGGAGAGAAGGACCTGTACATTGACTACCATGCTGACTGTATCAAAAGTAAACCACTCAACCCAATACTCAGCTTTTACCCTCAACCACAACCCTACCTCAACCCATCCACCATCACCCAAGACTAGGCACGCACGCCCCCAACTACCTCAATTCCAACTACTGCCGGCCTTAAATGCAAACTACTCAATGCAAGAAGCCTCGTGAATAAAATACCTGAATTTCTCTTCCTCCTAAATATGGCTAACTTCGACATTATATTTGTCTGTGAAACATGGCTCAATGCATCTCTCCCCGACTCCATTACCACAGTAAGAGACTATCATGTTTACAGATCAGATCGTGAAAATCGTCGAGGAGGTGGAGTTGCTATATTCTATAAAAAATCCTTACATCTAAAAAATATCCAAGTTACCCAGGAGTTTGCCCTTCCTGAAACCATCATCTGTGAACTATCCTCAAATATCACAATTCGATTCTTACTATGTTACAGAGCACCTGATTATGACATCGAACATGTAAACAAGCTAAATACATTACTAACATGGGCTGCATCCTGCCCATACCCTTTTATCCTTCTTGGTGATTTCAATCTACCTCATATTAACTGGACCCTAAATGATTGTACAACTGAAATCATACACACAACCTTCTACAATGCTATTACAAATCTGGGACTGGAACAACTAGTAACCAACAACACTAGACTAAACAACTGCCTCGATCTCATCTTCTGCAACAGTTTGAACCTAATCTACGGAATACAATCTAAAGAACCCTTTTCCAGTAGTGACCACAATATGATCGACTTTTGTCTCAACATACATCCACACAAAAATCACCACAATGATGTAATCCCCTATTGTAACTTCAAAAAAGGCAACTATGATCTTATAGACAACGATCTCTCATCCCTTGATTGGCAATCTCTATTCACTGGATGCAATACCGTTGAAGACTATTATAACATATTTTTACTTGAAGTCAAAAGAGTCATCAAACTATATGTACCAACAACAACTCCCAAAACAAAACAAAAAAGCAGATTACCCATATCAATAAGGAAACTTCAATCCAAAAAGAGATCACTCTGGCGGAAAAACAAATCTGGTCACGTTGCCAATTTCAAAAACCGATACAAAAATCTATGCCACCAGATAAAGACCGAATGCACCAATTATCACATTAAACAAGAGGAAAACCTTCTAAGCACCAATTCCACCCGCGCTTTTTACAATTTTGTAAACAACAAACTAAAAGACTCAAGGTCCATCCCTCCCTTGATAGGACCTGATGGTAAAGACTGCAACGACGACACCATTAAAGCCAACATCTTTAACACATTCTTCGGCTCAGTATTTGTAAACAGCAATGGATCATGCCCAATATTTCCTAGCCGTACCACAGATAACAACAATGATCTAATACATATCGATTTCACAGAAGACAATGTTGAAAAAGCAATACGCAACCTCAAACCATCTCTATCTATTGGACCGGATGGAATATGTGCCTACTTCTTAAGAAAGCTATCCACTGCCATAGCCAAACCTCTAAGCATAATCTTTGAAAAATCTTTCAGAACCAGCTCCTTGCCTAACCTATGGTCACAAGCCACAGTCATCCCCATCTTCAAAAAGGGAGACCCAAGCCTAGTTGAAAACTACAGGCCAATCTCCTTATGCTGCGTCACCTGTAAAGTCATGGAATCAATTATTAACCAATCCATCATCCTTCACTTAGAGACAAATAACCTACTCTCCAATAAACAATTTGGTTTCAGGAAAAAACTATCCTGTAATCTGCAACTCTTACACTGCAAAAACATATGGACGACACAACTCGACCAGGGCAAAACAATAGACGCAATCTACATAGACTTCTGTAAAGCCTTTGATTCAGTGGTACACGACAAACTACTCCTAAAAATAAAATCCTATGGTATCTCTGGACAACTGAATAACTGGATAGAAGCATTCCTGTC